TCAGGTTCATAACGATGTTCTTTCATATAACGTAAACATGATTGAACGGTTGTTTCACGTTCAACAACAATTGAATCCATATTACGACCAAGAACTTTTGTTATTGCCATTTGAAAACGTTTATGAGTTGGTTCACATAGATCAATCAAACGACCATACTAAAAAAATAATTTTATTATTCAATTTTTTTGTGTAAATAATTGTCTAGATTAAAAGCAATTTTAACATACCACGCCTGGAAATTGTTTGAGATTTTCAATAAGTTCTGCACGTCGTTGTGCTCGAGTTGTTTCATTTCGATCAGACTATTTATAAATAAATATTTTTACTAAATCTTATTTAAATCGAAAAAAAGAAATTGATTTACTCTTGCTTCACCAATTTCTTTATTAACTTGATCAAGTTCTTCTTCAAGTTCAGTACAACGTCTTCGACCATCAGTTACTTCTCGTTCCAATAATTGAGCATCGGATTGTTTATCCTTAAGTTCTTGTTCAAGATCACTAAAAAAAATTTAATTTACATTGTATGGATTTGAATAAAACAAAATAATGATTATTTTTTTGTACACTATATAACCAGCTAATTTATCAATTTTTCCATTTAATTCGTCAATACGTAATTCTGTTTGTTGAATACGTGCCATATGATCTCTTTGACTTCGTTGTTCTTGTTCGAGATTCGTTTTATCAACTTGTTGTTGACGATCAATTGAATCGTATTCTTCAGAAAATTGTGTCATTTTTTTTGCTGCTTCTTCTTTTAAATGCCGATATTCTTTTATCTTTATAGAAGATAAAAAGTGTTTGTTTTCGTGTAATTATTTATTAACAAAAATTATCTTACCTGATCTTCTTCAAGAGCTAAATTACGACCAGCATTTTGTGATTCATCTTGTAATTTATCTTCATATTCTTTTTGTAAACGTTCAACTTCACGTAAATCAGATTCATATTTTTCAATTTCTTCATCATGTGCACCATGAGTTTTTTCAGCAGCTAGAAGAGTTTTCCTAAAAAGTAAAAAATCGTTCAGAAACATTAATGCAAGCTAAAGGCTGAACTTCATTATTCCTGTCATAATATTTTGAGGGTGGGTGTGGGTCTTGTCGGATTTGACTGTGGGTATTATATTTATTTGTATTTAACACCGTCACCCTCACCCTTACCCTCATCCTCACCCT